TGTGTTTTCTCACATTTATTGTGTGCTAAAATGCACCAATAGGAATATAGTAAAATTAAATAATTATTTAATTAAATAAAGATAGATATTAAATGATTTCCATAATTGTTTGTATATTAAATGATATCCATAATTATAATTCTCTTTTTATGGAAACTAAATTTTATTCGTCATTAATATTAGCAATAACATTCTTTTAGAATTAATTCGCATCTAGGCTTTTTTGTATGAGTTCGTTTTTTGTTTCAGGAATCAGACACTTAAAATACAACAAATTTGCATCGAATATGAAGAATGAGAGTATATTATACTAGAATACACTTTCATTCTGCAAGAATACACTTTCTTTATTCTAGATACGAATTCATTCTGAAAGAATATTATTGTTGACATTAATAACGAATTTAATTAGTTTCCATAAAAATGAATTATAAGTATGGATATTATTTAATATGCATTTGATTTTTACTTAATTCTTATTGGTGTATTCTAGCACACAATAGATGAGAGAAAGATTTGAACCTACCTCTTTCTCTCTTTCTCTCTCACTCTCTCTCTCTCTCTCTCTCTCTCTATATATATATATATATATATATATATATATATATATATATTCTTAAAGAAGTTCGTTTATTGTATTTTATAATCATAATGAATATTGTATGATTATTGTAGCAATCACATTTACAAGTTAAGTTATTAAGATTTCTTAGTAAAAATGCTACTGCTATGTCGAACATGGAAGGAAGAAATATAAAAAGTTTTATAGAATTAGTTAACTAAAGTAGTAAACTTACACACAAAGCAAATAATCTCAAATAATTTTTGTGGGTACTTTTTATCCGTTTCCTGTCACAATTAAGAACATCAACCTAAATTTTTTGGATTTTCAAAAGATAATATTAAATTCGCCGGAATGTTTTGGTTTGTTAAATTTATTAATTAAACAACTCACCGAAGTATCGAACCGCACAAACCGCGCTCAAAGAGCATAAACTGTCCGCATCAAACCACACCATTTAACGCGGTTTAGAACTTTTGTGGTGCGGTTTGCGACTTTTAAAAAAACTCAAACCGCATATACAGTACGATTTATGGTTTTGACGCGCTCAAAGCGCATAAACTGTCCGCATCAAACCACACCATTTAACGCGGTTTAGAACTTTCGTGGTGCGGTTTGCGGCTTCAAAAAAAACTCAAACCGCATATACAGTACGGTTTATGGTTTTGACTCAAAACCGCACTGTGAACAACCTATCTATAACCTATAGAAAATAAAGAAGAAGATATTTAATTTATTGTATAAAATCAAAGCATAAAATTATTTTTATTGTATGAACTCGTTCCCTCGTCGATCCCGAAGGAATCCTTGGGGTCTTCATCAAGATTCTGCAAGGCAATCAAGGAGTGAGCTCATAGGAGATCTTCCCGTTGAATCCTTCAAAAATCTTGTTGAGTACAGCCAATTTATTCATCTTTGGTTCTTGATTCCTCAAATACTCGTTTCTTTCTTCATCAGCTGTTCGGCTGTTCCTCAATCATCTTCAATCCCATTTCATCATTGCCCTGAACCCCACAGCTTCCACCATGGAAGCTTCAATCAGCAGATCATTGATAAAATTCACCAATCGCAACTCCATAAATACAATCCTTCATTCTAACTGCCATCCATTGAAACTCTCCCCGCACCCGTCACCACCCGTCTTCTCACCCTTCACCACACTCGCTACTCTCTCACTCTCAGACCCTAATTCTCACGCTCGCAATCATTTCCCCAATTGGAAACCCTCTCATTTCACCCCATCTTCGTTCCCATCAAATGTCAATACTCCAATCTCCGCCGATCGTTTTGCTCGCATTTTATCGGGCCACAACGACAAGTCTTTTGAATGGAAGTTCGCTGATCGGGTAAATGGCGGAGAATTAGGGTTTCTTCCCGAGGATAAGCGGGCGGATGTGACGGTGGTGGTGTTAGGCTGGCTAGGATCGAGGCAAAAGCACTTGAGGAGGTACGCTGAGATGTATAACCTGTTTGGTATGGATGCTGTTACGCTTCCTGCTCCAGTTAACGATGTGCTTGGTTTCCATTGGGGAAGGAAATTGGAGTCAAGAGTTACAGTATTGACTGACGAGCTTGTGTCATGGTTGGAGGAGAAGGAGAACGATGGAAGGGACCGGTTCTTGATCTTTCATACCTTCAGTAACACTGGTTGGCTTGCGTAGGTTAATTCATTCAATTCTGATACAAATTTCTTTCATTTCCATTAAATGGGCATCAGCGAATCACTATGATCAAGCTTGACATGATTATATAATCAATTCTTTACAGCTATGGTTCTATTCTGAACAAATTGCAAGGTAGACAAGAGCTACTGGATAAGATCAAAGGGTGTGTTGTTGATTCTGGAGGAGACCCAGAGCTTGATCCTAAGGTATGGGCAGCTGGATTCACTACAGCTTTGCTTAAAAAACAAAGCTCTGCAGTTAATTCTTCCTCTGAAACAATGGAAGTAAAAAATGTCAATTCAGATGATAAAGAACTTGAATTCATTGAGGTCTTCCTTCTGACATTATTTGAGAAGTTCTTTGCTTATCTCCTTCAATTACCAGATATAAAGAAGTAAGTGTTGCTTTTTTTTCTTCACCTTTTTTTTTATTAAGACTAAAGTACATTGCTATTTTCTGCTTTTTATTTTTGTATGTAACAGGAGATTGACAGAAGTAACATCAACTCTATCAGAAAACCAGCCTTCTCATCCACAGCTGTATCTATACAGCACAGCTGATAAGGTGATTCCATTTCATAAAATAGAATCATTTGCTGAACACCAAAAGAAATTAGGAAAAAAGGTCACGACTTTTAACTTCAAATCGACCCCACATGTGGATCATTATAGAACTTTCACGGATACGTATCGGTCTTTGGTTCAAATTTTCTTAAAAGACTGTTTTGCCCTTGAAGGTAAGCAATTGTGTAATGTAGTGAAGTGAGATTGAAAGGTAGAGAATTAATAGAATGGTTTCTTGGTTTCTTACTTTTACTTGAGATGTATTTATACGTTGTTCTCTTATAGTGTAACAGAATACAACTAACCATGGAATATAATTTAACAAAAGAATATAAAAACTAACACAAATAAATTAAAGATTGAGAAAATCTTGAATTAAATTATGATGAAATTTAAAGTTTAGCTTTTTTTGAGAAAAATAGCATTGTAAGATTTTATTTTATTCCATGGAGTTAAAATCAGTATAAAAGAGGGAACGTATTACTTTAGTAAATAGTGTATTAAAACATCCTCATCGAACTCATGTATAGCAATTAGCTTTGCCAAAAAACTTTACCTCAAACATTATCAAATAAAATGGACAAATTACAATAATGGTCTCTATAGTTTACTAAAAATATCACAGATGGTTCTTATAAGGAATTTGTTGTGCTCAGTGGTTCATAAATTTGAAAAGCTTTGCACTATAAATCTTTGTGGCTAATACCGTTAAAAATTTAACTAAAAGTTAAGTTTCAGCACCGATCATGTAATTACATCTTTTAGTTTTCTGGAGGTTTTAGCGAGAGTGAGTTAAGTGAGTATGTGATACCTCTACATGTGCGATGAGTGTGGTCATACATAGTATGACCTGTAGGAGGTTTCGCTTTTATGTTGGGAAGTTAATAGCGTCGAGATCTCGGTGGGATAGTGTTTCGCGGATGTTTGCAAAATCCCGGTTTCAAATAGCGTTCTGAAATATCGGAGCCGAGATTATCGCCGATATCGGCCGCTATTTAACCGATATTTCAATACCGGTATCCAAGTTTTTTCCCGCTATTTGATTTTTTGGGCTTTTTATACAGATTTATAAAGAAAAATAAGTACTTTAATATGGATTAACCCACAACTTGTAATATTATAATCTCAATCTCCTTTCTTTAACGTTGTAACCTAATCAGAGCTCGGAAGAAACTAGATGGAAAGAAGTTGGAACAGACAGAGTTATAAAAACTCAGTTAATTTGTAATTAAACCTCGGTTAATGCATCTAATTTGTAATTGTAATCAAACCTCAGTTATGTATTTAATTTGTAACTCTTTGTGTGCAACAGGTTATAGTTTTAACTTGTAAACAAGTTACTTTTTGTGATTATTTATATAATTTTTAAAAACCGCAATCCCACCGTTATCCCACCGTGAGAACCGCTATTTTAAATCACGGCAAGTGACCGCTATAAGATTTTAGACCGCGATAATTGCATAGCTTTTATGGGACATCAATGTAAGCCCTTGTATGAGCGGTGATGCTTATTGGAGGGTCGTTTCTCTCTTTTCTGCCTGAGTTGTGAGTCATGATTTGCTCACGAGAAATATTAGTAGTGGTGTGTGCACTACTATTGATGTCTGTAGCCAATGCTTTGTCGCATGGTGACATGATCGCAGATGTGCAGCACGACCATCATGTAGCCGGGCTGGCATGAGGCAACCTTAGTAAGAGTTTTTGACAGAAGGATTGTTGTCAAAGAGCATGATAGCGTGTCCGTTATGTGTTTAATGTCTATGAAGGATATATATATATATA